TGAGAGACATAGGAAGGAGATATTGTTCTATCTGATTGGCAGATGGGAAATCTGAGCTTCAGGGCTATAGGAGGGGGATGAGCCTGAACCCAGGAACCCAGCTCTCTGGGAAACCCTCACCTGTACCCCAGCTCTGCATGCCCCTCACTCAGCAGCCTCTTCCAGCCCTGGCAGGCTATCTAAGGGAGTGAAATGTAATACTAGGTACAAATTCATGGCTCAGATTTCTCTGTTTGGCATCCGCTGGAGGCCATCCTGTTCAGGAATCCCAAAGATTAGAGAAAACAAATTCCAGATGAGGGATCAGTAGACTCTTGGCATCAAGGGCCACCCCTGGGGGCAAACCAGCTCTACTGGAGCCCAGGGCATCTGTTAGGGAGAAGGCTTAAAAAGGAGGGAAAGAGAAAAGAAAAGAGAAAGAGGAAAGGAGAAGGAAGATGAATGTTAACGGGTGGCCTGGAAACATGGAACACAGTAAATACCACCTGTTGAGGGCTTCCTATATGCCAAGACTTCCCCCCCCCCTTTTCCAATTTAATCCTTACAACAACCCTATGATGTGGATCTGACACTCCTCCCTATTCTACAGATAAGGAAACTCTCTGCAGGGAAGAGGGAAACTGCCTGGGTATAAAGCCAACACTGAAGACAATTGAACAGGGAAGGAAAGTCTGAGAACCCGTGAGCAGCTGGTAGCATCTGGATCCAGCTGGACAAGATTCACTCGTGGACTGCCCAGTCGGGGAAAATGCTCCATTTTTCATCAAGCCAGCGTGACTTCAGTTTCTGCCATTTACAACCAAGTGTTTGATTGGAGAGTGGGTCCCCTTGGGGGGATGGGGTGAGGGCAGAACTGTCAGGAGCAAAGACGGAGCTTCTGGGGGCTGGTCATGCTGTGTTTCTTGATGAGGTGCTAAATACCTGGGTGTGTCATCAAGCTGTATTTTTATGACTTGTGCTCTTTTCTGTATGTATGTTGTATTTCAATAAAGAGTCAAGAATCCCAGGACGGCTGGGTGGCTCAGTTGGTTAAGTGTCTGCCTTCGGCTTGGGTCATGATCCCAGGGTCCTGGGATCGAGTCCCACATCGGGCTCCCTGCTCAGCGGGGAGTCTGCTTCTCCCTCTAACCCTACCCCCTCGTCCAGCCCTGACTCCCCCCAGGAGTCATCTCAGCTTCCTCCTAAGACACCTCACTTGTGCCTCTTTCAAGGCATGTATCACTCTGCCCTGAGTG